CCAGGCTGGGCTGGGACTGAGCACACCAGGCTGGGACTGAGCACACCATGCTGTGCCTGTGCCTGTGTCTGCAGCCCGTGAAGGACTGGACACTGGGAACAAGACCCTCCTGTATGTGGGAAGCCAAACCCAACCATCTCTGCTGGCCACAGTGTCCAGCCTTGGCTTCCCTGGGACCCTTCAGACTAAGGGATACGCTCAGGGGACATGTCCATGGGTGCTGACCCTGAAGGGCCAGCCTGCACCCTTTGGCCAGGGCCACCTCCCTCCCTCCTGGTGTGATGCAGAGCGTGGAGATGGCTCCAGCTCTGGCCAGGCTCAGCTCTCCCTGCGTGGCACAGTTTGCTGCCTGCTATTTTATGTCTCTGGTTCAAGTTCGCAGCTGTTTCTATAACACTGTAAAAGAAGCTGCAAATCAAAACCATGTTCATCTTCATTTTGAGAGCCTTTGAAAGCAACTTCAAAGGCAGCAGAGCTCTCTTTGGGCCTCGCAGGATGGGGCTGTGGCGAGGAGCTTTCATCATTCCCCCTCCTTTGCCAGGAGAGGATGTGAACAGGAGAAAAGGGTCCATGATGGGAACAGAGAGGCTGAGCAGGCAGGCTGCAGCATGGCACGGTGAATGCTGCATTTGCCATCCCATTCCCCTTCCCTCCAGTCAGGTCCTTCTCGGGTGTCGTGACTTGTGGCTGTGCTGTTTGTCCCCGCCATGGGCAGCTGTCCCATCCCCCCAGCAGCTGGAGCAGGATCCCACTCCCCATCCCCACTGCCTCCGTGCTGCTCACGTGTCCTCCATACGAGCTGAGAGTGGAGACTCTTGCAGCCGCTTTTGATTTGGAGGCCACATGGCTGGATGCTCCCAGCACATCACAGGACGCAGCAGCATCTGTCCTGCAGTGCCTTGCACCAGCTCCCAGGGCYTTTCTCAGCAGAGCCCTCTGTGCCTGGGGCAGCTGGAGCCCGTGGTGCTGCTCCTGCTCTGGAGCCCATCCCTGTGCCCATCCTGCCTTTCCTCCCTGTTCCTTGGGTACATTCCCAGGGYACATCCCTGCTGGTGTTGTCTCCATCCCTTACCTGCAGTGGGAAGGTCCCTCCAGGGCAGGGGCCATGCCCAGCCCTTTGTCCTCCTSCACCCTGGAGCCCGAAGCAGGGCTGGAGCTGCATCTCTGCCTCGCCTCCCTTGCCATGCGAGGGAACAGCCAGTTCCCACGTGAACTGCTGAGTCCTGGCCAACCCCGCTCTCCAAATATTTATATATCCCATTACTGTTTACATATGAGCCTGTTCTCCAGAGGTGTCTCCTCCTTCCCCCTTCTCCCCCAGTGCTCCCCCTGCTCCATCTCATCTGGTGCAGCTATTCCAAACGCACTGCTCTGCTCCCATTACTACTTGATTAATTTACAAGGAAAGGCAAAGCTCTCCTAAGGGAGTAATCCAAGCCACGGGGCAAGGCAGCCCGGTGAGAGGAGAGACTCTCCCAGAGGACAAGGCACACGGTGCTGGGAGGGGACAGGCAGAACCTACTTCTCAGCATGACCCGTCCGAAGACGGTGTGGTCGCGGTCCAGGGTGCTGCAGTTCCAGCGGTGGTGCCGGAATTGGTGCTGGCACTCCCGGATCCACTCCTTGGCTCCCTCCCCGACCGACTGCATGATGTCCGGGTACCGCTGGCACAGCTGGCGCTGCTTGTTCACCAGCCCGGGGATGTTATCACAGATCACCCTGGCGCCCAGCGCCCCGATGTACCTGGAGAGAGAAGGGTGCTGTGTTACTGCCCTGTCTGCAAACGGGAGTCAGAGAATCACTGAAGGGACCCACGAGGATCACTGAGTCCAGCTCCTGTCCCTGAGAGTATTTTACAAACACTCCCTGAGCTCTGGCAGCCTCGGGACCCTGACCATTGCCCTGGGGAGCCTGTTCAGTGCCCGACCAATCTCTGGGGGAAGAATCTTTTCYCAATATTCAGCCTAAGCTCCCCTGACAAAGATGCAGACATTGTCCCCGGTCCTGTCCCCAGCCACAGAGAGCAGAGGTCAGAGCTGCCTCTCAGGAGGCTGCAGACCCCATAAGGTCTGAGCTCAGCTGCCCCCAGCTGAACAAACCAAGCGCCTCCAGGTCCTCACCCTGCCTGCTGGGTCTCACACTGAAGTGCAGCTTTTCCTCTTTCCTTTCCAGGTGTGTCAGAGCTGCTGCAGGCTCTGCCCACGGTGTCTCAGCAGAGCAAAGTGTTCCCCCTTGGCATGGTGAGCTGTGAGGCACACAGAGACCTGCCTGGGGCTGTGTTCAGACAGGCGGGACACAGGGACAGGGACAGGAACAGGGCACTGCTGAGCCATCACAGCCTTTGTGTTTGATGAAATAATCCTGAGATGCAGCAGCTGGGAGCAAGCAGAGCTTTCCTCAGTGTGTGCATCACTGCAGAAAGGAGCAGGGAGTCTGTGGAGCCCGTCTGCCCCTGGAGACAGTCAGCTCTGGGTGCTGTGAGTTATGGCAAGTGTCCCATAGGTCGGGGCTCTGTCAGCTCCTGGGGCAGCAGCASAGAAATGTGCTGATGTGCAAAACCTCCCTCCCATCCTCTTCCCAATATCCCAGCCCTGCTGAGCACAGCAGGATGGAGCCCAGCAGAGCCCAAGCCCTGTCTCCTGCCTGCACTCTTCAGGAATATTCATGGCACAGACCCTTGTGCAGGTGAGGGAGGGAGAGGAACAGGCTTCACCTCTTGGTGCTGCACTCCCCACTCCCCCTGTTATCCCCTCTGTGCTGTCRGTTCCTCTCTGTGCATCTCCTGAAMATTTRTTCTCATGCCCTGAAGCTGCACAACTGGCAGAACTCTGTGGCTCCATCCTGCCTGCATCTCGCCTGCATCCCAGTCCCTCCCTGCAGCCGTGGGGAGACAGAGGAACTTGGAGCAGAGAGACAATGCACAGAGAGCAATGCTCAGAGCCTGGCTGAGCCCCACGGGCAGCTTTCCACAGCCACGGGGGAGGGAGCTGAGCTCTGTCCCACACTCTCACACCATCCCGGACAATGGATGTGGAATTTTCCATCCCGGTCACCTCCTGCCTGCACCACCCGCTCACCCCTCTGACTGYTCGTGCTGGAGGGTGATTTCTGCCGCAGAGCACGGAGCTGGGATACTGGCTGGAAGGGATGAGGTTTGGGTGATATTCAGATATTTTCTAGCCCCTAGACTGGAAGCAAAAACCTTCCTTCAATAATAGTAAAAAGCAATAAGCTTGGACAATATTTCATTGTCTCTCTCTGGCCATGTTCTCTCACTTCTATCCACCCCAGAGAGAGCTCCCAGGCTCAGGAAAGCCCTGCAAGCACAGAAAGCAATGGGATCTGTTCCCTTTTTAAAAATATTTTGTTTAAATGCTGGCAGAAGCACAAGGTCATCTCGGGCTGGAGCTGAGGATAATAAACCCAGCTCCCCACAGCTTTACAAGCCCAGACTCCAAGGGGCAGTGAGCATTATTGTCCCAGGCATGCTCGCCAGCCTTTCATCSTGAAGCAGAGGAACAGCGAAGTATCAGAAGCTGTTTGGGAAAGAAAAGCCACCAGGAGCTCCTCGAGCATTGCTGGCTGTGGGTGTTTCACTGCCTCGCTCGTGCCACGCTGTGGGACCAGCCTGTTCCATCCCATGGGGAGTAGGGCAGGGCACAGGAGCATCCCACTGTGCCCTCGAATGGCACTGCACAATTCCTGTGGGAAGCATGGCCGGGTCCCCAGCCTTAGCCAGATTCTGCCCAGCAAGGATGGAGAGGGCTGGTTTATCCCTCCAGGGCTGGCAAGAGCAATGATGCCATGCTGGAGGCAGCAGCTGGCAGGATGGAGGTTCAGAAGTAGCCAAAGCTCCTCTTTGCTGCAGAGAAGTAAAGCTGGAAAAGGCAGAATGTTCTGTGATGGGCCACCTCACCGAGGACCTTGTGGGGACGCCATCCCTTGCCCGATGTCACCGCTGCCGAGCCGGGCACTGGGCTCCTGTCACAGCACAGAGCTGCA